CACCACAAAATATAATATTCAAGGAAAGAAATTATTATTTCTTGTTTTCTAAATATGGCTTTATAAAAGTAAAAAAAAAAGGTGAGTTCATTCAGGGTTGCAAGATTATTGTAACTTACAATAACATAACTATTAGTATTCATGATTTTGTTTTCTAGTCTAGACAATTTTCCAGAGCTGACATTCATCATAGATTCAGACTGAAGAATAAATCCAGTAAAGTACCTAAAATTATCTATCTCTTCTGCAAACACATGATATGTTGTACATCATTGTATGGATTGCCACTTTATTTCCAAATCACAAAAAAGTAATAAAAAGAAAAGTTGGTTTATTTTTTTTTTGTAAACATCACTGTGTAAAAGAAACAAATGGGAGGTAGTTTAAGACTTGCAAAACTCTGTTATTGTAACCTTACAATAAAATGATTATTAATATGTGTGATTTTGGTTTCCTACCCTGGACAATCTGGAAGGGATGACATTAACCTTGCAAGTAGGAAAACACTTTCCCTTCCACTGCCTTAACTTTCCAGAGAATTGGGGAGGATTGGGTGTTCATCCTGAGATGCTTTCTCAAAGAACACTTCTGGTTTAGTCTCAAATTTCTTTTATTAGACTTTTTTAAAAGGAGGACTGAAGTTCTTCCTCCCACCTTTCAAGGTTATTCTTACAGTGTATACTTAGTCCAAGAAAAAAAAATCTCACCTGGGGCATCTTGTAGACATTCAAGATGTTTGCCATGAAGAGACAGATGTTAGAGTTAGGTCCTGCAATAACAGATACTGCCCAGTCCTTGGCATCACACTTATAGTTGGGGATGAATCTGCCACGTGTTGAGAGAAGCTCCATTGAAGCCAAGTAAGTCAATCCCGCCATGTAATAACTGTTAGAGATGTCAATACCCAAGCTCATGTTGGATAATATAGGCTTATTCTCATTTATCTCCTTTACAGAAAAAACTAAGGCCAGGATATGTTGGTAGTTCTGCAGGAAAAATCTGCATTGAAAGATATATTGTGTGGATCTAGGCAGGAGGTTATGATTTTTTTAATTCATCATAAACAATTTTTACTAGAAACAGATAAATTGCTGGAAGATAAATGATGGTATTAAAACCCATATGCAATTCTTATGTATATATATATTTAGCCTTATATTTTCATCTTTTTCTTGCGTATGTTTTAAGGCGGATATAGGCATGAAAAATGTGTTTGGAATAAACCTGAGGACAACTGTTATATATTATTTTTAGATCTTAGATATTTTAGATATTTTTAGATGATAGATCTTATCCCAATAAAAGTCACTGATGTTTCATTAAGTCAGAGATGCTCTAAGTCTGTGTTCCATGCATGCTCAACAGCTGTTTGGAAAATAATTCAAAGCATGTAACTGTTCCCTAATATTAAGTGAAAGAATTAAATGATTAACATAGATTTAGCTACAAATAGTACAGCACCTTGATAGTACATCACTAATGATTCATTTAACAGTAAGAAAATAAGAAAATCCTAATATGGAATTTGAATAAAACCACCAGTGGGAGAGTTGTCATAAGTGTATTTGTGTATTTATTTGCCAGGGCAACCTATTAGAGAAAGATATATGGTTTAAGATATGCTATAGTTAAGAAGAGAAAGTCTTTACATGAGCTCATCGACCAGTTCTTCAGATGGGTGCCTTGTGAAACCAACTGGATCCGATACCATGTAGAACTGAGAGAGTATCCCAGCCATTATGAAATCTCCTGGCAGAAAATACTTGTGCTTAATAAAGGGAAGTTTCCCCAAAGAACATGTTTTGATAAAGCATGTAGCTTCTGACAGTAACAGTGACAACATTGCCGTCACTACCATGGAAAATTCCATCTTCTTCAAGAAAACACTTTTCACTACATAAGAACCAGTTCGATCTGTATGAATGAAACATAAGGGGGAAAAACTCTCACTTATTAGAATAAATATTCTTTCTAAGAAAAAAGGTTGTTACATCTCTCACATTCTGATCCCACAATTAACAGACCCTTTCAATCTTGAGCTATTCTTTGATGTTGTGCCTGAGAATTCCTGAAAGAGTTGAGAAAAAAACCACATTAGTAAGATTCTTTGGGTAATTATAGGGGAAATCAGTGAATGTTTGGTGACGCTCCTTGGAGACTGTGGAGAAAGTAGAATGATGATATGTATGGGCTAGGAAAAAAAGAGCTCATAACTGAAAACTATAAAAGAGATAGAGAAACATAATGAAAATTCAGATAAACAAATGCTAGTTCTGTAGCTGTAAACCTTACATTCTCTGGAACAATACAACTATCTGACTTTAGGGGTACATTAAAGCATGATTTTTTTCCCAAAGAACTAAAAAGAAATTGACCCATAATGTTAGAGAATCCCGCCCACCTTTATTTCTCTTTCTGATAGGTCTTTAAACACTTTGATTATTGTATTTGTAATGTAATTAAAAGGCTTGAAGGAACGTTTGTCCATGGGGTCGTGATGGGTCGGAAACGACTTCGCAACTAACAACAATTTAATTAAATCATGACATTTCTTTTTATGCTTTCTAATGGAAGCAGGCCTGTGAGCTGTGCAGAGTCCTTTGGGATGGTAACAGTGTGTAATGCCAAGTGAATATGCAAATAATAAATGAATACCATTGGAAACATTTTTTTCAGTACTGTTTTTACTGCAAAATAAAAATATAGCTTGGCTCTTTTCACTCATTTTAAATGATTTTTTACTCCATATCCTCAAAGTCACACAGTATGAAGCATATATTTTTTGTCTGGCTTGATGAATGACATGAGCCACCACCAATCCATTTATCCACCATTGGTATTTTATAGCCCTGCAACAAATCTCCTTATCAATTGTATATGGGAAATGAAAAAAATAATAATCTACCAGTCACAGGACTCCTTCCTCATTAATTGTGAAATTTGATTGCTGCTACAAATGTTGCTCCTTTTATCAAATACAAAAACATAACATGAATCAGTTTCTTTGTAGTAAAGAAATAATGGTCACTTGAAATTATTTATTTTTATTTGTTCTTTACCATTAGTTCTTTCACTAAATGGACAAATAAATTGAAGAATATGATAATATACAAATACTAAAATAAGAAATTCACTTATTTATAAAATTTAAATCCTTCCTTCCTTCCTTATTTCCTTCCTTATTTCCTTCCTTCCTTCCTTCCTTCCTTCCTTCCTTCCTTCCTTCCTTCCTTCCTTCCTTCCTTCCTTCCTTCCTTCCTTCCTCCCTCTAGGATAGTGGTTCTCAACCTTTCTAATGCCGCGACCCCATAGTACAGTTCCCCATGTTGTGTTGACCCCCAACCACTTTTACATCATCAGGTGCCAGGGGCATGGCCAAAGAAAAGGGGAAAAAATGGCGGACAGCCTTGTTTGGCGACCCCCGTGAAATGGTCGTTCGACCACAAATGGGGTCCCGACCCACAGGTTGAGAACCACTGCTCTAGGACCCATCAAATACATCTTTCTAGAAAATAAGAGCCATAGTATGCCAGTTTTTTGAACTGATGATACCTCTTACTGAGAACATCGCACAGTGAGGGCCAAAGGCAACATCTCTTTGCCAATCACTACTGTCTGGAATGTAAATCAGAGAAAGAAACCAAACCAGCAAAAACCACTGATCCAATGAGTTTATATAGAAGGGTAGAATGTTTGTTGGTTTTGAAAGTCACTCGGATCTAAAGAGGAGATGGATAAGGACCGATCCATTTTCTCAGGCTCAATAGATTCAAACTATTCCCAGATATTGAAGCCAGACTGCTGCATAGGTATTGGCCCCCTGGATCTGTGAACAAATTACAGCAACTTTGTCTGATAGATGCTAATATAATCAAGGGATGCATGTAGCAACTCAACAAATGACAAGTCTGAGCTACAATTCTCTCCATTTATCTCTTGATATTTAAATATTCTGCAATATCAATACATATTTAATTTTTTATGGATTGTTTATTTAATATCCACTCTTTAAAAGACCAATTGAAGTTATGATGTTATTGAAGGAGTACTACTTCTTAGAGATCCTCATAGTCGTGCTCATTGCAGTTCCATGATCACAAAATTAAAATTAAAAACTTGCCAAGAAAACAGGAAGACATGTCCAGGCAGCCATCTGGAGTCAACAAATTTTCAACCAACATCTAAAAATGGAGATGATTACACGAGCATAGAGGCAGTATACAAAAAATTAATTATAAACTCTTGATTTAGGAAATGTTATAGTGAAAATGGACCAATTTTTGTTATGTCTGATTGGTTCTGAATATTGGAGAATGCAAAAGCTTATCCTTCATCTGGATTCCTATTTTAAATTCCAGAAAAGAAAGTAAAAAAAATATCAAAGGATGGTAATAGGAAGATAAATGCAACATCATCGCCTTATGCTTAATATCTCTGAAATATCTATCCTACTAGTTATATTAAGTGTTACTGAGGGCACAGAAAGACTAGGTGGAGAGGATTACTTCTATAAAACCAAAATTCATCTATGAGCATGTCCAATGGATGAACTTTGCCTTTACCATCCATGCATCCATGCACCTAGACTGGTCTGACAGTGAATCTACACTATTTACTCAATAACCTACCCTCCAAAAGAAAGTTCGAAATTACTATCATATTCCAATAAGGACTTAGCTTCTTAAGAGCTCTGAATTGGATTTTGGTAACTATCATCTTATATTTAAGCCTCCTTCAAAGCATTACCCATGATCCATGAAGACCCAAGACTACAACAAATCTGAGCAAATGGCAATCAAAATGCTGGGCAAAATTGCTATGGGAAGATATTGTACTTTATTTCTTGGCATGGTTATAAAGCTAGGCACATTCCAACATTAGACAAATATTTATTTTGTGCATTTGTGCATCTGTCTCAGTTTTCCCAAACTGCAAAGACTAGCAGAAAAAGGAAACACTACAGTGAGGAGAGTTTACAGTATAAGGTTTGGAAACATAATTCAGTGTTTTTTAATAAGTTTGTCCTTTTTGTTTAGATCAGGTCTCAGAAGAATAATATAGCATTTTGGGAAAAAGATACAGCCAAGCAACCCCATTGCTGAAGCCAGAATGGAGAAGATCTCCACCACCACCATGTACTTTCCCTTGGTGCTCAGATAGGTAGGAACAAATGTTACCCAAACGCTGCAAAACACCAGCATGCTGAAGGTAATGAATTTGGCTTCATTGAAGCTATCAGGTAACTTCCTAGCTAGGAAGGCTACCGTGAAACTGATAGCAGTTAAGAACCCCATAAAGCCCAGAACAGTATAAAACATAATGGCTGATCCTTCGTTACATTCTAGTACAATTTCTTCAGCCATGGAGTGCATGTCTGAATCTGGAAATGGGGGAGAAATTGCCAGCCATGCAACACAAATTGTGAGTTGTATGAGAGAGCAAGAAAGGACAATGGAGTTGGCCAGCCTTTTCCCCACCCATTTCTTTATTTGGGATCCTGGTTTGGTGGCCATGAAAGCAAGAACCACTATGGTTGTTTTACCCAAAATGCAAGAAATGGCTACAGAGAAGATGATGCCAAATGCAGTTTGTCGCATGAGACATTTGACTTGACCAGGTTGTCCAATGAAAAGAAAACTGCAGAGGAAAGAGAGCTGGAGAGCAATGAGAAGAGTATAGGTGAGATTCCTGTTGTTGGCTTTGACTATGGGGGTTTCCCACTCTTTAATGAAGATCCTCAGCACCAAGGCTGAAGTTATAAAAAAGAAGACAGTTACAGTGGCCAAAGTGATTCCCAAAGGTTCTCCATAAGACAAGAAAGTTATATGTTTTTCAATGCAAAGATTGTGAGCTTCATTTGGATATTGATCTTCTGGACATTGGAAACAGTCAACTGCATCTGCAAAAGAAAACATTAAAGGACTGTTTATTGATCAGAATTTCAGAGCTGAATCATGGCCTAGTGCTTAAGATGCTCGCCTCCCACTTGGGTGGTTGACAATTCAATAGCGGGAGATGTTTCTCTTAGGGTGTAAAGAAAAAATATCTGCTGCCAACTACACCTGGTGTCAGGAAAGGCATCCAGCCAGTAAATGCTCAGTTCCATCCAGTTGCCCTGACTCTATTGGGAATTATGGGATTACAGTCATAATAAGGAAGTTATTTATAACTCAGAGTTGAAATGAGGAAACTTTGGTGCTATCTGAGATCAGTTATTTTCTTGCAGACATTTAATATAATAGTAATAGTAGTAAAGTTGGAAGGGACCTTGGAGGTCATCTAGTCCAACCCCCTGCTCAGGCAGGAAACCCTACACCATTTCGGATAAATGGCTGTCCAGTCTCTTCTTAAAAACTTCCAGTGTTGGAGCATTTACTGCTTCTGGAGGCAAGCTGTTCCACTGATTAATTGTTCTCACTGTCAGGAAGTTTCTCCTTAGTTCTAGGTTGCTTCTCTCCTTGATTAGTTTCCACCCGTTGCTTCTTGTCCTGCCTTCAGGTGCTTTGGAAAATAGCTTAATTCCCTCTTCTTTATGGCAGCCCCTGAGATATTGGAATACTGCTATCATGTCCCCCCTTGTCCTTCTCTTCGTTAAACTAGACATACCCAATTCTAGCAACCGTTCCTTATATGTTTTAGCCTCCAGTCCCCTAATCATCTTTGTTGCTCTTCTCTGTACTCTTTCTAGAGTCTCAACATCTTTTTTACATCGTGTGACCAAAACTGGATGCAGTATTCCAAGTGTGGCCTTACCAAGGCATTGAAGAGTGGTATTAATACTTCACGTGATTTTGGTTCTATCCCTCTGTTAATGCAGCCCAGCACTGTGTTGGCTTTTTTGGCAGCTGCAGCACACTGCTGGCTCATATTTAGGTGATTGTCTACTAGGACTCCGAGTCCCTCTCACAGTTACTAATACTGAGCATGGTGCCACCACCTATGCTGTACTTGTGCATTTGGTTTTTCTTGCCTAAATGTAGAACCTTGCTTTTTTCACCATTGAATTTCATTTTGTTACTTAGTGCCCAGTGTTCAAGTCTGTCCAGATCCTTCTGTATCTGAAGCCTGTCTTCTGGAGTGTTCGCTATTCCTGCCAGCTTGGTGTCGTCTGCAAATATGATGAGTTCCCCATCTATCCCTTCGTCCAAATCGTTGATGAAGATGTTGAAGAGCACTGGGCCAAGAACAGAGCCCTGGGGCACCCCACTACACACTTCCCTCCATATAGATGCAGTTCCATTGAAGACCACTCACTGAGTATGGCTGGTCAGCCAGCTACGGATCCATCTGGTGGTGGTTCTGTCTACCCCACATTTTTCTATCTTATCAAGTAGTAGATTGTGATCTACTTTATCAAATGCCTTACTGAAGTCCAATAAATTATTTCCACAGCATTCCTCTGATCCACTAATTTTGTCACTTGGTCAAAGAATGCAATAAGATTTGTCTGGCATGATCTATTTTTGACAAACGCATGTTGGGTTTTAGTAATGACTTTGTTTGCCTCTATGTGTTTGTTGATTCGTTATTTGATTATCTTTTCCAGGATCTTCCCAGGTATTGAGGTCAGGCTGATAGGTCTGTAATTTCTTGGATCCATTTTTTTCCTTTTTTGAGGATGGGAACTACATCAGCTCTTTTTCAGTCCTCTGCTAGTTCCCCTGTGTTCCAGGATCTTTGAAAGATATAGTTCAGTGGTTCTGATATCACATCTGCCAGTTCCTTGAGAACCTTGGGGTGTAATCCATCTGGTCCTGGCAATTTGAACTCATCTAGGCTGGACAGGTGCTCACTTACTATTTTCTTGCCTATCTTAGCTTGTGTTTCTATTTTGTTTTTTTATGGCACTATTTTTGATAGGTTGATCTGTTTTTTCCCTTTGTGTAAAGACAGATGCAAAAAACGAGTTAAATAGTTCTGCTTTCTCCTTGTTGCTTGTCACCTTCTTGCCACTTCCACCCACTAATGGACCAATCATTTCCTTCACTTTTTTTCTTATTTTTTACATGTTGAAAGAAGCTTTTTTATTATTTTTGACTTTTTTCGCAAGCCTTAGTTCATTTTGAGCCTTGGCTTTCTTCACTTCATCTTTGCAGGCTCGGGCTATTTGCTGATATTATGACTTAGTTATGTTCCCCTCTTTCCACTTTCTATACTTGTCCTTTTTATCTTTCAATTTGTCAGAGAGTTTTTTATGCAGCCTTGCTGTTTTCTTTTGAGAGCTGTTGTTTTTCTCTTTGTTGGTATTGTGCTAGACTGTGCTTTTATTATCTCATTTTTCAAAATTTCCCAGCTTCTTGAGTTGTTTTCCCCTGGAGGATTCTCATCCATGGAATCCTTCCCAACCCTCTCTAAGTTTATTGAAATTAGCTCTCTTGAAATCCAAGACTCTGATTTGACTGTGTTCTATTGCTTGTGCTTCTATAATGTTGAATTCTAATATTGCATGATCACTTCCTCCCAAGGTTCCTATGGCTTCAACACCTTCAACACCAACACATTTCATAATGGTAACATCATCAGTGCTAGTCAACATCATTACTGTTGAACTGATGATGTTACCTAGTTTGGTAATGAAATATCTGCAAGAAAACCACCAAGTTCAGAGAGCACCAAGGACTGCTCAAAGAAAACATTGTGGCCCATAGAAGCTATGAAAGCAACTCCATTTATTTCTATTAATTATGTCCATTTTACTTGCATTACAGTATTAAAAATTAAGAATGAGACCATCCACATGCAGAAAAGTACCCTGTATATGTTTGGTTAAACAGACACCAAGAGTGTTGTTTGTATCAATCTCAGTGTCATGTTGGAAAATGGAAGGAAAGTCCAACAGAAAATTTTGTAATGGGTCAGAGTTTCCTAGTTTATTTTCTAGAGAAACCATGTGATACTTATTTTTGAGCTCATGTGGACATTTTACTTAATGACTGATGTATGTTATGGAAAACAAGTCAAAATCTATCACTTTTCTTCTTAATAAGTGACTTCTCTACCTTTAAAAAGAAATAACCTAATTTTTTGGAGAAATTTCTCTTAATTCAAAAGCTTTTTCATTTTGAATATTCTTCATGCTCAGGTGACAAATGTTTTAGCAAGAATTCCAGTTATTTATAAGGGTTAAAGATCCATGAAGGTTATAGTTCATTATCAGACCAGCAGAAGGACCAATATTTATGTTCCATATCTATTTATGTGCCTGCTTCTCTCCAGCAAGGACAAGCTAATTTTCTTGCTACTTTACACATCATATTCAATTCACAATAACAAATCAGTCAATCAAACTGCCTGAATCCTGATCATGACTCAGAAACATCTGGACAAATAACACTCACACCAATTTAAATGAGCACATGAGCACAATTCAAAGCGCACTGAAGGTGTTTCCCTGAATGGAGATGAAACATTTGCAGACAAATCGCCAAGCTTGGAGATTAAACTAACAGCTCAACTACCAACCTGAGCTAGTAATATTCAAACGAATCTTATCTAATACTGAGGTTATCTTGCTTCAATGAGGTCAACACTCCAAATTCTGAATAATTGATTACATTTGAGAACAATACCATGCAGAGTAAACACAGATAGTTATAAAATATTGCTGGTGACAATTAATAAATCTTCTCATTAAGCACATCTTACCTGATCTGTTTGAAATTTTCCCCTTTGCACAAGGAAGACAATCATAGCAGCAAAAGGGCTTCTCATCTATTTTTTTCTTCAGGTAGCCTGGATAACAATTTTCATTGCATACAGAAAGTGGTAATGCCTATTCAGAAATGAAATCAGGAGAAAGTTCAATAGTTGTACTTTATACACTCATATTTCACTCTGTATATGATATTCTGACAAATCTGCGTAGCTTTTGGAGAAATTCTATATATAGGATTCAATTCAACGTATTATTAGATAGGCACATTTAATGAATGCCACCATAATAATGTGACATTGTCTATATGTCCTCATGGAACCATGTATTCCCTATATATTTCCTATGCATTCCTATGTATTTCCTATGTATCCTATGCATTTCCCATGTATTTCCATGGGACCTTAGAGGTTTCCTTAATTGTTCAAACTGGACTCCCCTCAAATTCCATTTTGGTCAATCTGATCGGTAAATATCTATGAGGATTCTCAATCATTGAGGTTATGGTTGTCCCAAAGGTGCTTTTCAAAAGTCAACGAACTTTCGTGGCTTTTTCCTTGAAAATGTTTGAGAAACATTCAATTCCTTGAGAACTGAAGAAGCTTCTTGGATCAGAAGCAAAATATTTTCAAGAAAATAAAAGTCCAGTTGCCTTTGAAAAGGACCTTTGAGTTGAATCTGATTGGTAATTTATCCCACACTTTGTTGGTGAAATTAAACTTTGGAATTATCTGCATTTTCATTGAGTCCAGTCCTTTCTGCCAAATAGGTCTTGAAAAGAAATACTGCAGAGAACTTACTTATGGGATACAGAGTTCCAATTGCATCTAGTCAGTCTTGTAGAAATTATGATATAGACCATGTTGTAATGGTGACAAATTTGCAAGTTAAATTTAGAAAACTAAAGAAAATAGTTGGGATTTTAAAATATGTCTTAGACAATATGCCGTTGGAATATAATCAAATTATAAGGTAGCAATGGACAGGAATAAGATATTTCAAGTAGTACAGTATCTCAGCATGTTGCTTGTTTATTATTAAATGATTTTCAGCTTTTATAATTCAAAGATGGCTCCCTATGTAGGACAACCTGAAAATGACAGCTGGTAAATGTGTATATTCAGGAATGGCCATAGATTTCTGGAAAGACAAGTTTAATAACGGAACACCTATATAAAATGAGCTCTGCTCTTTCATTTTTCATCATATTTTATTGCCTTAATTTTATTACTAATGAGTCACTCAAATGATAAAAGTGATTTTTGAATATGGGAGGATTTGAGACAACCTGAAACATCAGTAGGAAATACCTGGTTGAACATGGTCGGCCAGATGATGTTTTCTTCAGAAATCATGAAAGACTCTTCTGGAGAAGTCAATGGGTCTATCTTTCCAACTTTGACTTTAAGAAATGTTTTGTTTGGGAATGCGATCCAGTTGATGATATCAAATCCAGTTCCCAATTCCCCCTTTTCATTAAAGAAAACTGTTTCCCCAACACTGTTGTTAAATAAGACTTTTCTCAGGTAAGGATGGAGCTAAATGGAAGCAAATCAAACACAAATGTTTGTGTTTGAATTATATTGATTCTTTAGCTTTGTGTTTTAACTGTGCACGGTGTCCAGTGTTATATGTATGAGATGGGCGGCCATATAAATTCAATAAATAAATGCAATTGATCTGGAGAAATAAATACCAGTTGTATACCAAACCAATTGTACACAACTATCATTTAGAAATTCCTAATATTACTGTGCAAGTGAACCATAATATTAATAAGCATATTATCTCCAGGTAAAATGGTTTGACAAAATTTTAAACTGAATTATGAAGCTGGGCTTTAATTAGATTTTTTGAATTGGATCCTTTTTACATAGTTCCTACACACTGTTGTTAGGAAACATGAAACATGAATTTGTGTAAACTATGTGGATACTGAACCTGAAATGTACATGTTTTGCAATCATAAAACCACCTGATGGCATCAGAGAAGATTTTATTCTTACAATTTTATTTTATTTTATTTTATTTTACAAATTGATTGCTTGATCAATCTGTCATTGTGATTTCATTTATTATTACCTGCCATCTTTCTTCCTTGATAATCATCAGCCTTCCGTGGTCTGCCCTTGCTCTGTGTTTGTATTTGGATGAAAATATGGCTTTCAAGGCATGTGCCACAGCATAGACTGCATTATAAACGCTGTAACTCTGCCCAGTCATGGTGGTCTCAAAGACAGAATTAGGAAGAGTCTCCAACTTCTCCTCTCCAGTGCACAGCACTCCAGCATCCTCATCTAACTTATCTTTAAGGTAAAAACATTCAAATGCCTGCTCCCAGAACAATCGTGTTAAATGATCTCCTTCTTCTAAAGAAGGGCTTCTCATCTGCAAGAATGGTTTGAACCCAGTCACCTCCTTGGAAGAAACCGCAAAAGATATGGCACCATGAATAAAGTCGAAAGGGAGTATTTTTTGAAAAGGGATTGATGTGAACTCCATCTGGGCTGGCATGATCCAGACTTTATCTTTTCTCTTTACTGGTATATCCTCATATTCTGAAAAATAGGGAAACATTCTGAAGATGGCAATTATGTGGTTTCCACAGTAGAGGATCACAACATTGGCAGTGCTGTTCATGACAACCTTGTAAATGGTAACATAATCTTTAAATACATATTCAATGTGATTAGAATAAATGCCTTTGGGCAACTCTTGCATGAAGTCAAAGCAAATACCTTTCTGGACAAACAGTGTAAGGGCATTCCGTACAAACCTCTCTCCACTCTCATCAGATTGGGAAAGCAGCCCTATCCATACCCACTTTAAATGCAACAGCAGCTGAAGAATCCCCTTAGTCTGAAGCTCCTCATTTGGAAAAAAACGATGAAAGAAAACTGTGTGTTCATTATTATCATTCATTGGAGCAGATCCATATAGAAGCTAGGGAAAAATGATTTAAAATAGTTGGGTATTAGAGTCTATGATACAGATTGTGTTCCTCACCAACTTCAAGAAAAATGTAACCTAGAAAGAAACCAGTTTTTCCTTTAATTTAATATTTGAATGCCATAGATTTGACAATCTATTGATTCAGTAATTCCTGAACCTTAATAAGATAACAGAATAACACGGTTGTAAGGGACCTTGGAGGTTTTCTAGTCCAACCCCTTGCTTGGACTGGAAGCCCATCCATTCTAGACAAGTGACTATCCAGTCTCTTCTTAAAATATTCCAGGAATGGAGCACCCACAATTTCTGGAAACAAGTCATTCCACTGATTAATTGTTCTGTCAGGAAATTTCTCCTTCATTCTAGGTTGGTTCTCTCCTTGATTACTTTCCATCCATTGCTTCTCGTCCTGCCTTCATATGTTTGGAGAATAGTTTGACCCCTTCTTCATTGTGGCAGCCCCTTAGATATTTGAAAACTGCTATCAAATCACCCTTAGTCCTTTTCATTAAACTGGAGATACCCAATTCCTGCAACCATTCTTTGTATGTCTTAACCTCCAGTTCCCTAATTATTCGCTGCACTCTTTTTAGATTTATAAATCTCCTTGATTACTTTCCATCCATTGCTTTTTTAAATTATTTGAATTACCATGAATAACATTTATAGGCTGGAAGGAGGGATGTTGTGAGGGGCGAGGGAAGGAAGGAAGGAAGGAAGGAAGGAAGGAAGGAAGGAAGGAAGGAAGGAAGGAAGGAAGACCAGTGTGCAATACAAAGATCAAGATAACTATTACTCAATCAGGTCCATGAATTGTTAATATTTTTACTAAATCAAGGTAGGAAAATGGATGCATGACAATACAGTATATTGACATTTCTCTTCGGTATATTTGTAAATATGTCAAAGAATCATTGTATATTAATTGTTCAGATGATTCAGTTTGAGGAATAAAACAAGTAAAGTATGAAAAAATATCCATCTCATCTGCAAACACATAATTTGGACTGCCATTTTAATCCACATTCACAAAATACAATATTCAAGGAAAGAAATTATTATTTCTTGTTTTCTAAATATGGCTTTATAAAAGTAACAAAAAGGTGAGTTCATTCAGGGTTGCAAGATTATTGTAACTTACAATAACATAACTATTAGTATTCATGATTTTGTTTTCTAGTCTAGACAATCTCCAGAGCTGACATTCATCATAGATTCAGACTGAAGAATAAATCCAGTAAAGTACCTAAAATTATCTATCTCTTCTGCAAACACATGATATGTTGTTCATCATTGTATGGATTGCCACTTTATTCCCAAATCACAAAAAAGTAATAAAAAGAAAAGTTGGTTTATTTTTTTTGTAAACATCACTTTGTAAAAGAAACAAATGGGAGGTAGTTTAACCTTACAATAAAAGAATTATTAATATGTCTGATTTTGGTTTGCTACCCTGGACAATCTGGAAGGGATGACATTAACCTTTCAAGTAGTAAAACACTTTCCCTTCCACTGCCTTAACTTTCCAGAGAATTGGGGAGGAGTGGGTATCAATCCTGAGATGCTTTCTGAAAGAACACTTCTGGTTTAGTCTCAAATTTCTTTTATTAAACTTTTTTAAAAATAGAACTGCAGTTCTTCCTCCCACCTTTCAAGGTTATTCTTACAGTGTATACTTAGTCCAAGAAAAAAAAATCTCACCTGGGGCATCTTGTAGACATTCAAGATGTTTGCCACTAAGGGACAGATGTAAGAGTTAGGTCCTAGAATAACAGATACTGCCCAATCCTTGGCATCACACTTATAGTTGGGGATGAATCTGCCACGTGTTGAGAGAAGCTCCATGGAAGCCAAGTAAGTCAATCCCGCCATGTAATAACTGTTAGAGATGTCAATACCCAAGCTCATGTTGGATAATATAGGCTTATTCTCATTTATCTCCTTTACAGCAAAAACCAAGGCCAGGATGTGTTGGTAGTTCTGCAGGAAAAATCTGCAATGAAAGATATGTTATGTGGATGTAGGCAGGAGGTTATGATTCTTTTAATTCATCGTAAACAATTTTTACTAGAAACAGATAAATTGCTTGAAGAAAAATGATCATATTAAAACCCATATGTAATTCTTATATATATATTTAGCCTTATATTTTTATCTTCTTCTTGGATATGTTTTATGGTGGATATAGGCATGAAAAATGTGTTTGGAGTAAACCTGAGGACAAATGTTATATATTATTTTTAGATCTTAGATATTTTAGATATTTTTAGATGATAGATCTTATCCCAGTAAAAGTCACTGATGTTTCATTAAGTCAGAGATGCTCTAAGTCTGTGCTCAACAGCTGTTTGGAAAATAATTCAAAGCATGTAACTGTTCCCTAATATTAAGTGAAAGAATTAAATGATTAACATAGATTTAGCTACAAATAGTACAGTACCTTGATAGTACATCATTAATGATTCATTTAACAATAAGAAACCAAGAAAATCTCAATATGGAATTTGAATAAAAATACCAGTGGGAGAGTTGTCATAAGTGTGTTTGTGTATTTATTTTCCAGGGCAACCTATTAGAGAAAGATATATGGTTTAAGATATGCTATAGTTAAGAAGAGAAAGTCTTTACATGAGCTCATCAACCAATTCTTCAGATGGGTGCCTTGTGAAACCAACTGGATCCGATACCATGTAGAACTGAGAGAGTATCCCGGCCATTATGAAATCTCCTGGCAGAAAATACTTGTGCTTAATAAAGGGAAGTTTCCCCACAGAACACGTTTTAATAAGGCATGTAGCTCCTGACAGTAACAGTGACAACATTGCCATCACTACCATGGAAAATTCCATCTTCTTCAAGAAAATAGTTTTCACTAATTAAGAACCAGTTCGATCTGTAAAAATGAAACATAAGGGGAAAAACTCTCACTTATTAGGATAAATGTTCTTTCTAAGAAAAAAGGTTGTTACGTTTCTAACATTCTGATCCCACAATTAACAAACCCTTTCAATCTTGAGCTATCCTTTGGTGCTGTGCCTGAGAATTCCTGAAAGAGTTGAGAGAAAAAAACCACATTAGTAAGATTCTTTGGGTAATTATAGGGGAAATCAGTGAATGTTTGGTGACGCTCCTTGGAGACTGTGGAGAAAGTAGAATAATGATATGTATGGTCTAGGAAAAAAAGAGTTCTGTAGCTTTAAACTTTAAATTCTCTGGAACAATACAACTATCTGACTTTGACCTGTTAGGGCGTACATTAAAGCATGATTTTTTTTCCAAAGAGCTAAAAAGAAATTGACCCGTTATGTTATAGAATCCCGCCCACCTTTATTTATCTTTTTGATAGGTCTTTAAGCACTTTGATTATTGTATTTGTAATGTAATTTTAAGGCCTGGAGGAACCTTGTCCATGGGGCCGCGATGGGTCAGACATGACTTTGCAACTAAAAACAACAATATAATTAAACCATGACATTTCTTTTTAAGCTTTCTATTGGAAGCAGGCCTATGAGCTGTGCAGAGTCCTTTGGGATGGGAATAGTGTGTAATACCAAGTGAATATGCAAATAATAAAGGAATACCATTGGAAACAACTTTTTATTTGAGCCACATTTACAAAGTAAATCAATCTCAAAATAGAATGTTCTAATTTCTAGGAGGACCATATTTTTCAATACTGTTTTTATTGCAAAGTAAAAATATAGCTTGGCTCTTTTCACTCATTTTAAATGATTTTTTTACTCCATATCCTCAAAGTCACACAGTATGAACCATATTTTTTTTTCTGGCTTGATGAGTGACATGAGCCACCACCAATCAATTTATCCACCATTGATATTTTATAGCCCTGCAACAAATTTCTTTATCAATCTTATATGGGAAATGAAAAATAATAATAATCTACCAGTCACAGGACTCCTTCCTCATTAATTGTGAAATTTGATTGTTGCTACAAATGTTGCTCCTTTTATCATATACAAAAACATAACCTGAATCAGTTTCTTTGTAGTAAAGAAATAATGGTCACTTGAAATTATTTATTTTTACTTTGTTTTTACCAGTACATGTTTGACTACATGGACAAATAAATTGAAGAATAACATAATATACAAATACTAAAATAAGAAAATTATAAAATTTAAATCCTTCCTTCCTTCCTTCCTTCCTTCCTTCCTTCCTTCCTTCCTTCCTTCCTTCCTTCCTTCCTTCCTTCCTCTAGGACCCATCAAATACATCTTCCTAGCAAATAAGACCCATAGTATGCCACTTTTTTGAATGATGATACCTCGTACTGAGACCATCACACAGTGAGGGCCAAAGGCAGCATCTGTTTGCCAATCACCAGTGTCTGGAATGTAAATCAGAGAAAGAAACCAAACCAGCAAAAAACAGTGCTACCCACACTGATCCTCTGAGTTTATATAGAAGGGTAGAATGTTTGTTGGTTTTGAAAGCCACTCATATCTAAAGAGGAGATGGATAAGGACCGATCCATTTTCTCAAGCTCAATAGATTCAAACTATTCCCAGATATTGAAGCCAGACTGCTCCACAGGCATTGCCCCCTTGGATCAGTGAACAAATTACAGCAATTTTGTCTGATAGATGCTAATATAATTAAGAGATGCTTAATAATAATAATAATAGTAGTAAAGTTGGAAGGGACCTTGGAGGTCATCGAGTCCAACCCCCTGCTCGGGCAGGAAACCCTACACCATTTCGGACAAGCGGCTGTCCAGTCTCTTCTTAAAAACTTCCAGTGTTGGAGCATTTACTGCTTCTGGAGGCAGGCTGTTCCACTGATTAATTGTTCTCACTGTCAGGAAGTTTCTCCTTAGTTCTAGGTTGCTTCTCTCCTTGATTAGTTTCCACCCGTTGCTTCTTGTCCTGCCTTCAGGTGCTTTGGAAAATAGCTTAATTTCCTCTTCTTTATGGCAGCCCCTGATTCTGCAATATCAATACATATTTAATTGTTTATGGATGGTCTTATTTAATATCCACTCTTTAAAAGACCAATTGAAGTTATGATGTTAATTGAAGGAGTAGTACTTCTTAGAGATCCTCATAGTTGTGCTCATTGCAGTTCCATGATCACAAAATTAAAATTAAAAACTTGCCAAGAAAACAGGAAGACATGTCCAGGCAGTCATCTGGAGTCAATCGATTTTCAACCAACATCAAAAAATGGAGATTGTTTCATGAACATAGAGGCAGTATACAAAAAATTAATGATAAATTCTTGATTCAGGAAATGTTATAGTGAAAATGGACCAATTTTCTGTTAAGTCTGATTTGTTGTGAATATTGGAGAACGCAATACCTTATCCTTCATCTGGATTCCTATTTTTAGGTCCAGAAAACAAAATAAAAAAAATCAAAAATCAAAGGATGGTAATAAGAAGATAAATGCAACATCATTGCCTTATGCTTAATGTCTCTGAAATATCTATCCTATTAGTTATATTACTGAGGGTCCAGAAATACAAGGTGGAGAGGATTACTTCCATAAAAGCAAAGTTCATCTATGAGCATGTCCAATGGATGTGTTGTGGGAAAAACCACGATACTTACATCAGAAGACAAGACCACGAAGGGTTGGAGAAAACAGGTTTTTATTCGTGCACGATGGTTCAGAGTATTAGCATGACAAATTCTGAACCCTAAGTTACTCTGAGGGTGTCACTTTTATACAGCTTGCCGCCCACGCTTAACCTAATAGATGACTTCTTATCCACCTTTAACACACTAAAACAGAGAAGTTTATATCTTGAGGCTACACAAGGAAAAAGGAGAAGTTCACACAAACGGTTGTCTTACCACACCTTTCTGCACGGGTGCTATCTTACAACATCTGTGACTTTTAGTTGACACTGACACTTCTTGTAAAATGGTTTCTACATAGCATGAACACATCTCTATAATTATGACACACAGGTTATATGATTTAGGTTACATTTCACAGCCAAACTTAATATTATCTATTAACTATTATCAGCAACAAGCATTCCTATTAAGATATAGATATATTGAACTTTTTCCTGCCCACCTCATTTCCTCCCCTTGAAACTTCACTAAAATCACAAGATTATTGAGGAGTTTCATACCTTGGAGGATAACATAAGGTAGCATATTCCCCTTCCTCTACAAGGGCCATGACCTGGGCTATGGCTCTTTTCTCAACGAGCATTGAGAGGCTCTTGGAAATGGTGCAAGTAACAATAGGTAAAATACAACATAGAATTAGACAACCAAGGGCAATGATTCCCACGAGGGCCACGATGGCTTGCAAACCAGGCAGCTTGGGAAACCAAGATGTAAATACCTGGGTAAAGTCAAAACCTTTCCATTCTTGGTCAGCATTATGGGTAAGTTGCCTCATTTCAGTGGTCAACTGCTTAATGGCTTTTCCTGTCTCATCAATTTGCAAACAACAATTGGAAAGGTTGAACTTTCCACAAACACCTCCTTCCTTTGCCAAGATGTAATCTAGGGCCAACTTATTCTGATATACTGCTCTTCGAATCTTATCAGTAGTATCAGACAATATATTGAGAGCCTTTAAGATAGGGGAGCAGAGTTCCCTCAAATTCAGTGGGCTCTGGGCTTTGACCAGGAGAGACCCATTTTACATAGTCCTGATCCCAATATCCCAAACAGATTAGATGTCCTACCGGCACAGTATGGTTTCTGAAGAAACAGTTCCTCCCAACCAGGTTAGTAGCCAAAGTCCACACAGCTCCTGAGAAGCGAGTTCGAGCTGTCACGTTTCCAGCATTAAACATGTTGTTATAAATTTCAGGGGTGGCCTCTAAAGCTTCCTATGGCCATTGCTCCCCCATGTTGGTACCACCACATACAAAACAATTCTTTACAGTGAGTGTTTTTGCCACCTCCTCAGCCATTTCAATAAACAAATTAGTAGCTGTTGTACTTATAGGGAGGGGGTCATCTTCCAGTTTCTTCAGATTATCATATACAGACCAGCCTAAAGACCTAATTTGCCCATCATAGATTCGTTCTACTTGGACCATGAGGTAGGTCTTAGGGTCTTCACCAGTTCCCTCAATACCAAAGCCATATAAACAAAGTGTCTCCCTGTAGGAAGGTCTACAAAACATTCATCACAAGGAGGGACGTGGTCTGAAGGGTAAGGTCGTGGGTTCCCCAAGAGATATTCATCACCACTTACTCCCTTATGATCGCCCTCCCTTGTGGAAAGACCCTGTCCCACAGAGGTTGATACAGGTTCTGGATAACTTAAAGTGGGGGATGGGGTGACAGCCTTACTGATATCCAGATCATGGGTTCAATTAGCCAGTCCTCAGGCACACCCTCAACCCCCTTCTCTTTGACTGTGATCCTTCTATACAGAAACAGAGAGTTAATTATAACAATGATTAACAACAACATTACCACCACCCAAATTGTTGGGATGAGCCCTTTCCTAATACAGGCAGTTTCCCTCATTTTCTGGGTGGAATCCATAACCAATTAAAAAGACTTTTAAGACTAATGATATGAACGCAGTTTCCAAGGTAGGGACCTTTTGCTGCCCGTGCGATGGGTGTTAGCTTCCGGAGTAACACCTGCAGGGGGTTGCTTCACCTCTCCCGTTCGCAGGGGTGCAGCTTCCGGGGTGTCACCAGAAGGGGAGAGGCTCCTTCTCCTACGATGCAGAGATAGCTTAAAGGGTTGAGTTGGGTTACTATTCATTTTCCATTGGGTGGGGGCTGCCAATTTAACCCTGGACCAATGGATCCACAATTTGATTTCAGCCACCTTAATAGCAAGGGGAGAACACATAACAACAGTATACAGCCCTTTTCCACTTTGGGCTTAAGACTTCCCTCTTCCAATTCCTTTACCCAGACCTCCTGTCCCGGTGGTATATTATGTGTTAGTGTAACCAAGACATGGGATCTTTGGGTTAGAACATATTGGTGTAGCCACTGGACTATAGTGTTAAGAGCCTGCAGCTGTTCTAATTTAACAGTATCTGCCACTTGTTCAGAGTTCTGGACACCTGGTTTGAGTAAGTTGGGGACTCTGCCATACAATAATTCAAAGGGAGATACGAGCAGCCCCCTTTGTGGGGCACACCTTACCACAACCAGGGCCATATTTAAAGCATCTGGCCACTTAAGCTGAGTCTCCTGACATATTTTTGCCAATTTTTCCTTAATGGTCTATGTATTCTCTCCACCCTTCCTCCTGATTGAGCATGGAAACTACAGTCAAGCTTCCATGTTATTCCTAGCATAGCTGCTATCTTTTGGGTGGCTCTATGGATAAATTCAGGACCATTATCTGAAGAGATTCTAGATGGCAACCCATACCTGGGAATAATAATATGAAGCAAGGCTTTTGCGACCTCAGTTGCTTTTCTTCTTCTTCTTCTTCTTTGTAGGGATGCAATCTAGCCATCTAGTGTATGTACATACTATGACTAGCATTGCGTTATAGGGACCTGAGCATGGCATGTCAGTAAAATCAATCATCAAGGAATCGAAGGGATAATTTCCTCTGGGCTGAAGTTCTTGAGGCAGTTGGGGTCCTTGCCTTGGGTTGTTGGTGGAACAGATCTCACATCTAGCACAAACATTTGCTGCAATACTGTGTATTTTGTCAATATAAACCTCTCTCTTCAGGGCATTTGCCAGTGCCGCCTTTCCCAGGTGCAGTTGCTTATAAACCTGTTGCACTGCATCCCATGCCATATATCCTGGGATAAAGACTCGCTGGTCTGGCAAAATCCATCAACCATCTTCCTGCCTTGCTTCCAGCATCTCAGCTTTGTCCAAATCTTCATGAGAGTAGTTTGGTTTACCCTGGTCCTGTTCCTCAGGGGTCCACAAAGCTAGACAATTTGTATGCTCAAAAGGTGCCTTTAGTACAGCAATGTGAGCTTCCCTGTCTGCCTTATTATTTCCTAATTGAATATCTGATGCTCCCTTCTGATGGCCTTTGCAATGCATTACAGCTACTTCCTTAGGCTCCCCACACTATTCAGCAGACGCAATATCTGTGGTCCATATTGAACATCCTTTCCCCCTGAAGTTATAAGTCCTCTTACTTTGTATAAGGCTCCATGGACTTGCACTGTTAGGAATGCATACTTAGAGTCTGTGTAATATTAATGCACTTTCCTTTTGCCAACTCCAAAGTTCTAGTTAATGCATGCAGGTCAGCTAGCTGAGCATTTGTACCGGGCGGAAGTTGCTCAGCTTCCCATACTTCTTCAAAATCACCACAGCACATCCTGCCTTTCGAATGTCTTCTTGCATAAAACTAGTTCTACCCGTGTATATTGTAAAGTCTGGATCAAGCAGGGGGACATCTCTCATGTCTGAGCGGCTAGCGTAAGTTTCTTCAATAGCTTGTATGCAACTATGTGTGGTTTCCAAGTCTGATTCAAGCAACAGCATGGCTGGATTCAGTGAGTTTGATTAAATTAATATAATCATTGGATTATGTATTATTAGAGCTTGATACTTCAGCATGCATGGGTTGGTCAGCCACAAATGTCCTTTTGCTCCTAAGACAGCTTTAAGAGCATGGGGTGTGTAGATATCTAACTTTTGTCCAAAAGTCAACTTGTTAGCTTCCTGTGTTAATAATGCTGTTCCAGCACTTGCTTTAAGGCAAGCCGGCCATCCTCTGGCTACATTGTCAAGCTGTTTAGACAGATAAGTGACCGGGTGATGCCAGGTTCCTGTTTTCTGGGTGAGAACTCCTACTGCCACATTTTGCTTTGTATCTACAAACAGTTGAAATAACTTGTCCAAGTCTAGTAGACCTAAACTAGGGGCGCACATTAGAGCCTCCTTGAGAGCGGTGAAGCTGTTATTTTCTTGCTGTTCCTATTGCAATGGTTCTTTATCTCCCATCCTCTGTGGCCTCATATAGGGATCTTGCTATTAAACTAAAGGTAGGGATCCATATTCGGCAGAAGCCAACAGCAATCCTCTTAACTCTTTCCTATTCTTCGGTACAGCAGCTGGCAGATAGTGGACGATGCTTTGCAAAACCGGGGGGGGGGTTGTCCTCTGCCCACAGGTGTGGCATATTGAACTCTTTCCACTTTGTATTTGCTTCTACTGCTTGTGCCAGCATCACCATTCTCCATCCCTCTGGGGTACTTCCACCATCACCTTTCCATAGTTTATGGCCATTGTGCCATCCTCTTCAAAGGAGATCTGCACCCTTAGTTTACAAAGCAGATCCCTTACCAATAAAAGAATTGGCATATATTCAAACTGAAGGGTTATAGTTTTTCCTCCCCTAGTGCAACTTAAGGGCTCCAAAAAGGGTCGCTGCAATATTTTTCCTGTTGCTCTTATATGTTGATAGAGTGAGGGGAGGCTTGGCTTAGGGGTTGGGTTAGGACTAATCGGGTGGCTCCAGTATTCACAAGGAAGGGAATAGGTTTGCCTCCTACTGTTAAACTGACCACAGGTTCTGGGAGGCGGGCTGAACCCAGTCGGTCTCAGTCCCACTCCTCTGCTTCTGCCAGGCCTATGAGGGGAGTCCTTGAAAATCCTCTTCTTCTTTCTCTCCCTCCCTGGCTTCTCCTTGGGCCACCTCTGTAGCTCTTCGCAAACCTGCCTCTTCCCCCTCCTTTTTCTTCATCCTTTTCTCTTTCTGGACATTCACCCGTCCAGTGTCCTTCCTTCTTACATATGGCACACTGGTTTTGTCCTAACACCCTTCCCCATCCTCTACCTCTGCCACCTCCCCTTGACACCCCCATCATAGCAACTGCCAGCAATTCAGCTTTCCTTTGCATTTTCTGATCCTTTTTCTTTTCCTCCTCCTTTTCTCTTTTCACAAAAGTCTTTCGGACACTTGATTTGTTTTTTTTTTCACTAAATTTCCAAGCAAGAAGGTCTGATGTAGTAAAAGGCATATGTTGGAATAGAAGAGCTGTGGCTGTTTCTGCTGGATCATCCTTACTGACAACCAATTGATCTACTTGTCTAAGGGGAGCATTCAAAGATGCTTCCTCAGTCTTTGTCCTCATTTGTTCGGCTATCAGTCCTCCCACTTCTCTGTCTTCTGTTTGCAGTCCCATCCGTTCCTCTTCTGCCTTGGACCCCCTCAGCACCTCTTGCTGAAGGTCCAGTTTGGGTCCCTTGATCCTGGACATCTGGTTGAATTATGGCTTGTCCCCAGCTTTTTCTATCTTCTAAACTTTTTAACACAGGGGACAGTTTTGCATTTCTGAATCCATGGTGGAGGTCTTTGCAACAAGCTGAGCCACACATCAATATAGGGTGCCTGGTCTGGGTGCCCTAACATGGGATTGAACACTAACTAATGTACTTTTAGAGCAATGAATGGATCTAGTGTCCCTGTGCTTGGCCAGCCTATGTTAAAGCTGGGCCAATCTACCTCACAGAAGATCCTCAACTTATGCCTGCTCCACTTAATACCATAATCCTGATCCTCATAAGCAGACTTAAAATGCTTTAACATACACCCCAATGGAGTAAGGAGTACACTTCCACCATCACCCCATGAGCATCCCAGGGCACCAGACAAGACAAATGAGGAAAGGGGATGAGAGGAAGGTAAGGGGTCCTTCCACTCGGGATTACACTGAGGGTTTCACTTATACGCGCTAGACCCAGGGAGCCGGAAACTCAACGGTCACCGATGGGAAGTTCGAGCGCCACTCACTCACTGCAAACACACACAACAATCCTCCCACCTTATTCCAAAGAGAGGGTGATCAGTCCTCTCCTCCGTCCCTGCTTACAGGGAGGGATTCCTTATTTCCCTTTCAATACTTGCCTGCAGGCGAATCCTTTGTCCTCTAGCCGGCTGGAAAGTTGCCTGGTCTCCTTACCCTTCACCAGTGGTTCTTGGAGTGGCCGACCGCCAATGCTGGAGCCCTGTGTCACAGGGAAGTCCCTCGGAATAAAAGGTCCGATGGCGCCTGGGATGTTCCCCCTAACACTACAGGCCCCTGGCATCAGGGTGTGCCCTCCAGAGAGCCCCAAGACTCCTTGCCGTCCTGCCGCCGTCGCCAGATAATTGTTGTGGGAAAAAACCACGATACTTACATCAGAAGACAAGACCACGAAGGGTTGGAGAAAACAGGTTTTTATTCGTACACGATGGTTCAGAGTATTAGCATGACAAATTCTGAACCCTGAGTTACTCTGAGGGTGTCACTTTTATACAGCTTGCCGCCCATGCTTAACCTAATAGATGACTTCTTATCCACCTTTAACACACTAAAACAGAGAAGTTTATATCTTGAGGCTACACAAGGAAAAAGGAGAAGTTCACACAAACGGTTGTCTTACCACACCTTTCTGCACGGGTGCTATCTTACAACATCTGTGACTTTTAGTTGACACTGACACTTCTTGTAAAATGGTTTCTACATAGCATGAACACATCTCTATAATTATGACACACAGGTTATATGATTTAGGTTACATTTCACAGCCAAACTTAATATCATCTATTAACTATTATCAGCAACAAGCATTCCTATTAAGATATAGATATATTGAACTTTTTCCTGCCCACCTCAGATGAACTTTGCCTTTAACATCCATGCATCCATGCACCTAGTCTGGTCTGACAGTGAATCTACACTATTTACTCAATAACCTCCCCTGCAAAAGAAAGTTGGAAACTACTATCAAAATCCAATAAGGACTTAGCTTCTTAAGAGCTCTGAATTGGATTTTGATAACTATCATCTTATACTTAAGCTTCCTTCAAAGCATTACCCATGATCCATGAAGATCCAAGACTACAACAAATCTGAGCAAATGGCAAGCAAAATGCTGGGCAAAATTGCCACGGGAAGATATTGTACTTTATTTCTTGATATGGTTATAAACTAGGCACATTCCAACATTAGAAAAATATTTATTCTGTGCATTTGTGCATCTGACCCAGTTTTCCCAAACTGCAAAGACTAGCAGAAAAAGGAAACACAACAGTGAGGAGAGTTTACAGTATAAGGATCAGAAACATAATTCAGTGTTTTTTAATAAGTTTGTCCTTTCTGTTTAAATCAGGTCTCAGAAGAATAATATAGCATTTTGGGAAAAAGATACAGCCAAGCAACCCCATTGCTGAAGCCAGAATGGAGAAGATCTCCACCACCACCATGTACTTTCCCTTGGTGCTCAGATAGGTAGGAACAAATGTTACCCAAACGCTGCAAAACACCAGCATGCTGAAGGTAATGAATTTGGCTTCATTGAAGCTATCAGGTAACTTCCTAGCTAGGAAGGCTACCGTGAAACTGATAGCAGTTAAGAACCCCATAAAGCCCAGAACAGTATAAAACATGATGGCTGATCCTTCGTTACATTCTAGTACAATTTCTTCAGCCATGGAGTGCATGTCTGAATCTGGAAATGGGGGAGAAATTGCCAGCCATGCAACACAAATTGTGACTTGTATCAGAGAGCAAGAAAGGACAATGGAGTTGGCCAGCCTTTTCCCCACCCATTTCTTTATTTGGGATCCTGGTTTGGTGGCCATGAAAGCAAGAACCACTATGGTTGTTTTACCCAAAATACAAGAAATGGCTACAGAGAAGATGATGCCAAATGCAGTTTGTCGCATGAGACATTTGACTTGATCAGGTTGTCCAATGAAAAGAAAACTGCAGAGGAAAGAGAGCTGGAGAGCAATGAGAAGAGTACAGGTGAGATTCCTGTTGTTGGCTTTGACTATGGGGGTTTCCCACTCTTTAATGAAGATCCTCAGCACCAAAGCTGAAGTTACAAAAAAGAAGACAGCTACAGTGGCCAAAGTGATTCCCAAAGGTTCTTCATAAGACAAGAAAGTTATATGTTTTTCGATGCAAAGATTGTGAGCTTCATTTGGATATTGATCTTCTGGACATTGGAAACAGTCAACTGCATCTGCAAAAGAAAACATTAAAGGACTGTTTATTGATCAGAATTTCAGAGCTGAATCATGGCCTAGTGCGTAAGGTGCTCCCCTCCCACTTGGGTGGTTGACAATTCAATAGCGGCAGATGTTTCTCTTAGAGTGTAAAGAAAAAATATCTGCTGCCAACTCCACCTGGTGTCAGGAAAGGCATCCAGCCAGTAAATGCTCAGTTCCATCCAGTTGCCCTGACTCTACTGCGAATTATGGGATTAATGTCATAATAAGGATGTTATTTATAACAGAGTTGAAATGAGGAAACTTTGGTGCTATCTGAGATCAGTTGTTTTCTTGCAGATATTTCATAATCAAACTTGGTAACATCATCAGTGCTAGTCAACATGATTACAGTTGAACTGATGATGTTACCTAGTTTGGTAATGAAATATCTGCAAGAAAACCACCAAGTTCAGAGAGCACAAACGACTGCTCAAAGAAAACATTGTGGCCCATAGAAGCTATGAAAGCAACTCCATTTATTTCTAGTTAATTATGTCCATTTTACTTGCATTACAGTATTACAAATGAAGAATGGGACCATCCACATGCAGAAAAGTACCCTGTATATGTTTGGTCAAATAGACACCAAGAGTGTTGTTTGTATCAATCTCAGTGTCATCTTTGAAGATGGAAGGATGCATCCATATGATACTAACATAGCATCATATTTAATTCACAACAACAAACCAGTCAGTCAAACAGCCCGAATCCAGACCATGACTCAGAAACATCTGGACAAGTAACATTCATACCAATTTAAAGGTCAGTGTTCTGACACACGAGCACAATTCAAAGTGCACTGAAGATGTCTCCCAAAATAGAGATGAATCGTTTGTAGTCAAATTGCCAAGGTTGGAGATCGAACTAACAGCTCAACTACCAACCTGAGCTACTAATATTCAAATGCATCTCATCTAATACCTTGCTTCAATGAGGCCAACCCTCCAAATTCTGAAAAACTGATTACATTTGAGAACAATATCGTGCAGATTAAACACAGATAGGTATACAATATTGCTGGTGAGAATGAATAAGTCTTCTCAATTATATACATGGCACATCTTACCTAATCTGTTTGAAATTTTCCCTTTTGCACAAGGAAGACAATCATAGCAGCAAAAGGGCTTCTCATCTATTTTTTTCTTCAGGTAGCCTGGATAACAATTTTCATTGCATACAGAAAGTGGTAATGCCTATTCAGAAATGAAATCAGGAGAGAGTTGAATAGTTGTACTTCATACACTCATATTTCACTGTTTTATGATATTCTGACAAATCTGCATAGCTTTTGGAGACATTCTATATATGGGATTCAATTTAACATATTATTAGATAGGCATATTTAATGAATGCCACCATAATAATGTGACATTGTCTATATGTCCTCATATACATGGGAAATACATAGGAAATACATAGTTCGATGTCCTCATGGAACTATGTATTTCCTATGTATTTCCCATGTATTTCCATGTTTTCACATAACCTTAGAGGTTTCCTGAAGTCTTAATTGTTCAAACTGGACTCCCCTCAAATTCCATTTTGGTCAATCTGATTGGTAAATATCTATGAGGATTCTCAATCATCCAGGTCATGGTTGTCCCAAAGATGCTTTTCAAAAGTCAATGAACTTTCGTGGCTTTTTCCTTGAAAATGTTTGAGAAACATTCAATTCCTTGAGAACTGAAGAAGCTTCTTGGATGAGAAGCAAAACATTTTCAAGAAAAAAAGTCCAGTTGCCTTTGAAAAGCACCTTTGAGTTGAATCTGATTGGTAATTTATCCCACACTTTGTAGGTGAAATTAAACTTTGGAATTATCTGCATTTTCATTGAGTCCAGTCCTTTCTGCCAAAGAGGTCCTGAAAATAAATACTGCAGAGAATTTACTCATGGGATTCAGAGTTCCAGTTGCATCTAGTCAGTCTTGTAGAAATTATGAAATAGACCATGTTTTAATAGTGACAAAGTTGCAGGTTAAATTTAGAAAACTAAAGAAAATAGCTGGGATTTTAAAATGTCTTAGATCAGTGGTTCTCAACCGTTCTAATGCCGCGAGCCCATAATACAGTTCCCCATGTTGTGGTGATCCCCAACCACTTATACATCACTGGGTGCCAGGGGCATGGACAAAGAAAAGAGGGGAAAAATGGCGGACAGCCTTGTTTGGCGACCCCTGTGAAATCATCATTTGACCCCAAATGGGGTCCCGACCCACAGGT